CCGGGCCGCACGCATTCCAGGCGAGCGCGCTACCGCTTGAGCCACATCCCCAGCCCCCCAGCCCTTTTTATTACTTATTTTGAGAAAGGGTCTCACTAAGTTACCTAGGGCCTCAATAAGTTGCTGAGGCTGGCTTTGAACTATAATCCTCCTGTCTGAACTGCCATAACCGCTGGGTGTGGACCACCATACCCAGCAGAAAGAAAGGTTTTAAAGGAAACTACTATCTACTACCATTAACTTGACAGCTTCATAGTAAAGACTTGGCCGAAAAGATCAGTCATATTAATGAGTGCAACTTTGGGGAGCAGGTACCAGGGATTGAACTCAGGGGTACTCAACCACTGAGCCCCATCTCCAGTCCTATTTTGTATTTTATTTAGAGACAGGATCTCACCGAGTTGCTTAGCGCATCGCTATTGCTGAGGCTGTTTTGAACTTGGAATCCTCCTGCTTCAGCCTCCTGAGCCACTGGGATTACAGGGTTGGGCCACTGTGCCTGGCAAGTGCAACTTTTTAATGTTGCAGAATGAAATGTTTAAAAATTTGGTAGATCTTTATAGTTCTTCCATTAATATTAGCTCTGTCCATTGACATTTTCACATGCAGGATGTTTCAAAAACTATTCCAACTATATTCCTCCAAGGCCAGACTTTATTAATGTTCTTTAACCCAAAACAAGGTACTGCAATATTGAACAGAAAAGCAGATATGAGACTTTCTTCTAAGCCAAATAAAAAGGTTTGCAAAACTTTGAAATAAAGCCAACTCAAATTTTGTGGCTTTTAAAAATCACATTTCATTAAACCTATTTCTGTTACTGGGTTTATTATTGATTGAATTACATAATTTTTGATTGCTAATATAGTCAATAGTGATAGAAATAATTCACAAATGAGCTTGCCATTTCAAGGAAAATCAACTTATGAATATCTACCACCATTAGCAAATATAAAAGCTTTCTCTGATTCTCATTTTTGTGTGGTGCTGGAGGTTGAACCCAGGAACCAGGTCCTCATGAACATTTGGTAAATGCTCTGTCACTGCCATACACCCTCAGCCCTTTTTATTTTTTATTTTGAGATAGGGTCTTGCCAAGTTTTCCAGGCTGGCCTCAAACTTAGGATACTCCTGCCTTAGCCTCCTGAGTAGCTAGCTGTGATTACAAGCATGTGCCACTTTGCCCAGCTGTGATTCTCAATTCTTTTTTTTTTTTTAAAGAGAGAGGAGTGAGAGAGAGAGGAAAAAAATTATTTTTAATATTTATTTTTTAGTTCTTGGCAGACACAACATCTTTGTTTGTATGTGATGCTGAGGTTCAAACCCGGGCCGCACGCATGCCAGGTGAACGCGCTACCGCTTGAGCCATATCCCCAGCCCCGATTCTCAATTCTTAAGAATAAATTAGGAATGGGCAAACTTTCTGTGAAGAAAGGTAGTAAGAATTTTAGACTTTGCAGGCCATATGGCCTCTGTTATATCTACTCAGTTCTGCTATTGTAGCACAAAACAACAGTAAACAACACAAATATTTGAGTGCAACTATGGTTCAGCAAAACTTAACAGAAATAGTGGACTGTAATTTGACCTATGAGTTGTAGTTCACTGACCTACTATAAATGGATTCTGAGCCAGGCAGGGTGGCACCTGTAATCCCAGCAGCTCAGGAGGCTGAGGCAGGAAGGTTGCATATTCAAGGCCAGCCTCAGCAATTTAGGAAGATCCCTCTCTGGGGATGTAGGTCAGTGGTAGAACACCCTGGGTTCCATCCCCAGTGACACAAAAATGGCAAGGGTGGGAGACAGGCTCTGAGTTTAAAAAAACAAAATTGCTGTGCTGGACTAACAACTAAATTGTATATATTTTAAGACATACTATTCAACTAAGTTTAAATTTTTAGGAAGTTAGTATAATGGAGAAAGCTATTACTTGACTGCCATTTTTAAAAAGCAGTAGCTTAAATAGATTGTATTCGTGGATGTTCTGACATAATGTTATGAAAATGCCAATTCTGAAATTAATCTTTGACTAATACAATTCCAGTTAATAGTACAACGTGATTTGAGGAAGAGAGATTGGAAAATGTTCCAAAGAAGATTAATCTGGGAATTTTTAATGTCTAAGAATTCTAAAATTCTAAAATTCTAAAAAAAGGGGGCTGGGAATGTAGTACAGTGATAGAACGTGTGCTTAGCATGCATGAGACCTGGGGTTCAATCCCTAGCACCACATACACACTAAAAAGTAAAGAGGGGATTCACTTTAGATATTAAGTTGTACCAAAAGCCATAGTAATAAGTGCAGAAATTGACAAAAAGAGAATGTGGTAATTTCATACATGATAGAAGTGGCTTCAAAAATCATTGGGGAAAGGAAAGACTAATAGATGTTGCTGAGAAAACTTTACAGAAAAAAAAAGTGAATTTGGATCCCTAGCTACCATATGCAGAAAAATATTGCTTAAGGGTAAAGGTAGGGACTGGGGTTGTAGCTCAGTGGTAACGCACTTGTCTGGCATGTATGAGGCACTGGGTTCAATCCTCAGAACCACATTAAAAATAAATAAAGTAAAGGTAGACCTGTGAACATGGAAAATGTGAAGTATCTGGGGACTTGGGAAGTATATTTTTAACAAAGGCTCTTAAAGCACAGACCATAAGGTAAAAAATTCTTAGAATTTTACCATTTTGTAACCATTATGAAAAAGATTGGATCAAGGAAGAACTATTAATGAATATTAAATGGAGAGAGAATGAAGAATAAGTTACCTGCATGACCTCCAGGTGTCTCCCCACAGATGCCTTATTGCAAGAGAAGAACACAGTATCTCTAAGGTGGAGAAAATGGCAGCCAAATAGATAACTATGTCCATATTAAAGTTTCTGAAGTTGGGCTGGGACTGTGGCTCAGTGGTAGAGTGCTTGCCTAGCATAAGTGAGGCACTGGGTTCAATTCTCAGTACTGTGTTATAAATTAAATAAAATACATTGACAATTAAATATTTTTTAAAAGTTTCTGAAGTTGATAACTCTAGTTGTAGAAGGATACTTGCTGCAGTCCGGCTGGGCAAAATAACCAGGAGGTGACAAGCAACTTGAAGGTTGAAGCGGGAACTGCTTTATTATGGAACAGCAGAGGTATATATACCTAACTGATTACACACAGCTTGACTCAATTATCATCATCCAGATACAGCAATCAGCCAATAAGGAATCCCCACCATCTTAATGGCGTTGCTTCACAAACCACTCCTCCTGGCAAACTGCCAGGCGCCATCTTGACTTCATCGTAGCCCCCAACAGATACTATCCTTAATCCTAGGAAATACACATGCAAATATTTGTCTACAGCTAAAGTTTTTTAAAAAAAAGAGATAAAAAGGTAAAATTATAGAGTAAAAATGTTAATAGGATTTTGGCATGAAAATTTAAAATTTTGCTAATCTTAGAAAAGCTTAGTTAACTAGGGTGAAATAGTCACAACATTGAAACTCACAAAAAAATTATCTAGAATACAAGAAACTCCGGGAAATTAAAAAAAAAATAGGCCAGTGAAAAGATGAACAAAGACTGAACAGGCATTCTACAGAAGGGGAAACCAGACCCCATCATTTTTATATAGCTGCAATGGATACATAGGTCTTCAAGTCATCATTCTAAGCTCAGAAAAACAGAATGATAGCTATTGTGCAATATTCATGCAAAGTTTAAAATGTACATATCTTATATATGTCTCATAAATACAGCTATAAAAATATCAGGAGCCAGGTGAGGTAAAAAAACACCTGGAATCTTAGCAGTTTGGGAGGCTGAGGCAGGAGGATCACAAGCTCAAGGCCAGCCTCAGCAATTTAGTGAGGCCCTGGGCAACCTAGACCCTGTCTCAAAATAAATAAATAAAAAGAGATGGAGATGTATCTCAGTGGCAAAGCTTGATTAAATCCTCCATACCAAAAAACTTTTTAAGCTTTATGATGGGAGAAAAGGGAACAAGAATAGAAAATAAAAGAAAAAATAGCATAAAACTAGAGAGGCACGCTACACAGATATTATCAGGCCCATGTGCTCAAGAGTTGGTTAAACTCCTACCCAAGGTCCCTAAGAAAAAGAAAAAGTGGCAACAGCTTCCATGCTCTTCTTGACTTGGCTTGATCTTAATGGGTTAGAAACAGCTTTATTATAGCTCCAGACACTGGCCCTGACTTGCTCACTTTCCTGCTCATTTGTGTCTGTCTAAACTCCCCTTCTGGCTTTCTCAACACACTCCTCCAGGCACACCTTTGGGTGTGTCAGGAACATATTCATCACAGAAACATTTTTTGTGCCACAAGGGATTGTTTCCAAGCTTTTTGCCAAGAGTCAAAATGCCAGTTCCTAGGGGGTTTAGCTTTATTCTTTTAAAAAAATTGAGATACAATTTACACATCTTAAAGTTCACCTATTTAAATATGTACAACTCAGAGGAGTGTGGTGACCACACCTATAATCCAAGCTACTTGGGAGCCTGAGGCAGGAGGATCTTAAGTTCAAGGCCAGCCTGGGCAATTTAACAAGACCTTGTCTCAGCAGAAAATAAAAAGGGCTGAGAATGTAGCTCAGTGGCAGAGAGTTTGCCTAACATACGAGGCCATGGTTCCAAACCTCAGTACCAAAATAATATAATAATGTACAGTTCAATGGTAGTATATTTAGAATAATGCAATCATTACTCTAAAACATTTTCATTGTCACCCAAATCTCTACCCATTAGCTATGTATTCTTTTTTTTTAACTGTAGATGGACACAGTACCTTTATTTTATTTATCTTTATGAGGTGCTGAGGATCAAACTCAATTCCTCACACGTGAAAGGCAAGCGCTCTACCACTGAGCTACAACCCCAGCCCAGCTATGAATTCTTTTTTTTTTAATATATATGTTTTAGTTTTCGTAGGACACAACATCTTTGTTTGTATGTGGTGCTAAGGATCCAACCTGGGCCGCTCGCATGTCAGGCGAGCGCGCTACTGCTTGAGTCACATCCCCAGCCCCCAGCTATGAATTCTTAATCATGTATTCTTTTCTGTGGAGTCAGGAAACACAACCAGTCAGGGTCTTCCAAATGAACACACCTTGTTATCCGAGCAAGGGAAGAGCCCTAGTCAGGAGTCATGGCACTACAGCGCCAGACTACAGTGATCTTTCAGATCCCAATGGTGCATTTGGAGTGGCTCCCCACACTTTTCTACCCCAGGGTGGGAATGTTCTTCAACTTGATCACTGTCCAACAGAAAAACGTGCAGCCTGGGTTACACAAGGAAAGGTTATCACTTGACAGGCTTTGTATGCCTGGATGAACAGTTGAGGATTTGAGCAGATCAGGTAAAGATGTCTTTTCAGTATGGTTGGGGGTTTTTGTTGTTTTGCAGCGCTGGGAATCAAAATTTCATCCTTACGTACATATGCTAGGTAAGTGCTCCACAAGTGAGGTACACTTCCAAATCCTTCAGTATATTTCTGAAAAGATAATAAATATAGGGGACATGGGGGAAAGGATGTCCAGGGGAAAGAACCCACCCCCTTTCCTGACCTCTATTCCAGAGGCAACTTCTTATGTATGTCTTCCCAGAGAGGTGGTCCTCGCTGAGGTTTCTGAGGTGTGTATTAAATGGACTATGGTTGAAAGGCCAAAGTCATCCTGACTAGCCGTTCCTTGGAAACCAATCCTGATAGCCTGCTGTCCCACACTAGATGACCACACGCCTGCCTGGGACGGAGTAGGGGCCGCGAAGAGCTGCTACTCAAGAACTGGAACCTGGCCTGCTGTGATGCATGCCTATAATCCCAGTGACTCGGGAGAATGAGGCAGAAAGATCAGGAGTTCAAAGCCAGCCTCAGCAAAAGCGAGGCACTAAGCAACTCGGCGAGACCCTGTCTCTAAATAAAATACAAAACAGGGCTGGGGATGTGGCTTAGTGGTTGATTGCCGGAGTTCAATCTCCCGTACAAAACAAACAAACAAACAAAAAAGACCTTGAACCTAACTGTGCTCAGAGAGTGGGTCCTCCAATGGCATCTGCACAATGACACTGGCCCAAGTGGCGCGCACCTGAGGACCTAGCTTGGCAACTGTATCCAGAGCCGCAGCACTGAGCTTCATGCAGAGGTTCAGTGTTAAACGTGCAGGAGCCATGTGAGGGCGTGTGCGTGCTGGGTGAGCACGTGTACACTGTGTGAGCCCCACGTGGAAGGTGTGTTTAAGCTGGGTGTGCACGTCGCGTGTGCACGCGCAGGTCTGGTGTATGTGTGCACTATGTACGTTTAGCAGTATGAGCCTGTGTACACGTTGCGTTAAGGTTTTTATGCATATTGCATGGGCACGCTATGTGCAATCTATGTGAGACCTGGAGTGTATATTGCATGTGCACGTTATACACGCACTGTTTGAGAACCAGAACGCGCGCGCTGTTAACTGATGCGCATGCGGGTGCGCGAGGCACCGGTGCGGCGCAGCGGGGCCGGTGTGAGGACCGCGCGCGTGGTGTGAGGACGCGTGCGCATGCGGACGCGCGCGGGTCCAGTGCGGCGCGGCTAGCCAGGCAGTGCGCCTGTGCGGCCGGCGCATCCCAATGGAGCGTGGAGGCGGTTTCGGGGCGGGATCCCGTGCTGAGGGGAATGCGAGGGGCACCCCGCTTCCCGGGAAGATGGCTGAGTCAGGCGCTGTGCGAACCTCGCCACCCAACCACCGGCCTACAGGTAGGGCCCTTGGAGTGCCTGGGGATCCAGAGGGCTTCGGACCCCTGGGGGCGGGGCGGCCGCGCAAGGCAGCGGTTTGTGAGCGGTGGGGGTGGGGGCGCCGCGCACGCCGAGCTTGGATAAACGCCCTTTCCCCCGCCTGGGGTCAATTGGGCGCCGGGTCCCGAGGCTACTCCTCTTTTTTTGTCCGGGTGGCGGGGTCTCCCTCCCTCATCGTGGCCTGGGTGAGTGGGTGCGCCCGAGTGTGCGCCTTTGGGTGGGTGGCAAGTGTGTTTGGGATGGAAGTGCGGGGGGGCTCACGCTCGGTGCCGGAGTGGGTTCTGGGATACCAGACCATGTCCTTGAGAAACAGCTGGCGGGGGAGGGGGCATTGAGGTGCATCGATCCGACTCTAGGGGGTCGCCCCCGGCCTGCGCGTCTGCCCTCTCTGCGTTCTGAAAAAACGCGCAGGAGCGGTAGCTGCAGCCTGCGGCGAAGGTGGCTTTGCGCTTCTCAGCATGCCCCCCGGGAATTAAACCGGCGTAACCCATACTTGCTGAGCAGAGAGAGCGGCCTCTGGGATGGGTGACCTCTGCCACCAGGATGCTATCCCTGAAGCCTAGGGTAGGCTACCCAGGTGTTTGGCCCGGCAGCGGCCCCTTCACGTGGCGTCGCGGCTAATGAGGCTGCAGCTGCGGAGAGCCATGGGGGGCTCGTCCCAGTACAGGCTGCCCAAATGGGAGGTTGTGAAGGTATTTGGCAGAATTTGATAAGCAGGTCTCGCGTCTTCTGGTGCTGATCTTCTGTAAAGTGGTCTCAGGTAGTGCGGGGGTGGGGGTGGTGTAAGCAACATGGAAAGGAATTCCATGCTATTTTTCCTGGCAGCATCCCCCCCCCTTTTTCTTTCAGTTAATAATGTGAGCTATTTTAAAACATTTTTTTTACTGCAGTCTAACATGCATACAAAAAGTGCACAAATTTTTGTGTGATTTGGCGAATTATTATCACTTAGAGATGACATGAGTGTTATACATTAGGTAAACCAAGGAAGGGAAAAAAATCAAAGGAAATGTTCGTTAGTTGCTTAAACATGCTTTTCATTGGGGTTAGGGTAAATATTTTCTGATAGGGCCTTCAGTCACATCATTCATGGAAGGGAAGGGATGGCTTAAATCATTTCCAGTTTGTGGGGTTTTTTGTTTATTTTTGTTTGTGGGTTTGTTTGTTTGTTTGTTTGTTTGTTTGAATGGAGATTGAACCCAGGGGTACTTAACCATTGAGCCACATCCCCCAGCCCTTTAAATATTTTGTTTACAGACAGGGTCTCCCTGAGTTGCTTAAGGCCTCGCTAAGTTGCTGAGGTTGGCTTTGAACCTGCCATCCTCCTGCCTCAGCCTTCCGAACTGCTGGAACCATTTTGTGGTTTTTATCTTGCTGTTCCTTAAAGGCAGAACTTAATATCACAGGGTAGTAATATGAATAACTTAAATGAATACTTCCATTTTCATACTAAAGCTTGAGAAACTCAAACTGCATCTGGTAAGGAAGAACCCAGAACACCCACCAAAACTGCTCCTTCCTGGCATTGGGGACCTTGTTGAATAAAAATTTGGAAAAGGGAGGTTGTTTGAACTTGCATTTTTATTTCATTGAGAGTATAAATAGTAAATTATTTAGATGTTTTGTTGTACTAATTAGAAGTGGACCTTCAGTTTTTCTTTTTTTGGAAATGGATCTCACTATGTTGCTCAGGCTGGCCTCCAATTTGCCATCCTCCTGCCTCAGCCTCCTGTGTAGCTGGAATTACAGATGCACATTATGGTGCCCAGCTGTGGGGGGATTCTTAAGTTCTGTTTGGAAACTCTATTGTATGGTCATTTAATGCACTTTACTGTTATTGAGATTAGCTGAAGTTTTCCTTCATTTGAAATTGGAAATAATGGAAAGATGTGTGAACGTTTAAAGGATTAAATAAACAATTGTGTGTCTTAAGGTTGGTGTGGTGAAATTGGCATGTTCACTTTAAGTGCCAGGTGGTATCACAGTTTGTTCTTTAGGGGCTAGGGAGGCCAGGTACTAAGAAAATGTCTTAAAAATAAAAAAAAAAATCTTGATTGTTGAGTTTTTATTAAGATCCCAATACTAATCATTCTTGGTCACCAAAAGCTTGACCATTTGGGACCCATTTCTAAAGAGAATTAACCAGTATTTCTAGAGGATCAACTGTTGTTCCTAAGCTTGTGGTGGGCACTCTGGAGACTGCAAAAGACAGAAAGGCCTGAGATGTTTAGGCTCTCCAACAATGTTATGTCTGTACAATTGGGGGATATTAGTGGGTGAGTGGTTTTCCTAGGAGCTGTTGTAGATGATGGCAAGGGAATACCTCTGGTTGTTTCCTCTAGCAACAGGATCTTCTAATACTGAAACCTTGTGCTTGTTCCCATACCCACCAGTGATTCATTCTTTCTTTCCTTTTACTTACCTATCCTCAGTAGAAATTACAGAAGGTACTGTTCTTTTTAGTGATTGTGATATATGCACAGCATAACAAATGAGGAGCAAGTGCTTCTTATTTCTATCTGCTTAAATACCTTTATCCAGCAGATAGGATCACCAGATCTCTACTGTCTTGCCAGACTACATCATTGTCACACTGGTCCTGTGCTATTCTCAGCCTGCAGTGCCCCCTTCTCCCCTTTTCCCTTTAGGGGTTCACTTCCTCTGAGCTCTTTCAGTCAGAATTAATGGACTAGTTCCTGTCAGTGCCTGTACTACCTCCAGCAAAGCACTCTTATTCTGCCTGTGTTACATTAACTTTCCAGTTCCTTTAGATAGGTGTTCATTCGAGTGCTCAGTGCAGAAGAGACTCTGTACTGGTGGCTATTTCTGCCTCTAAAGCTGAGTAGATTGAGGTCCAGACTGCCTGGTGCGAATGCCAGCTCTATCCTTCCTCCTGTGTCACTTAGGGGAAGTTATTTGACATCACTGAACCTTGGTTTTCTTTAAGATGGACTTAAGAGGGGCTGGGGTTGTGGCTCAGTGGTAGAGTGCTCGCCTAGCATGCACGAGGCAATGGGTTTGACCCTCAGCACCACATAAGTGTAAAATAAAGATATTGTGTCCACCTAAAACTAAAAAGTAAATATTAAAAAAAAGATGGACTTAAGAAAAAGATTCAGATGGAGCACAATCTTGAGAATACAGCAGTTAATATTGGTAAGGCAGTGCTCAACACACAGAAAATGCTCCAGCTGGTTAGTCATTATTATCTATGTGCATTTCCTCTATTAGATCGTTAACCAGATGGCAAGGCCTGTGTTCATGTTATAGGTGCCTCTGTCAGTGCCACCTGGTACAGAGGGTAGTTGGATGGTCATCTACCTTCCCTCAGGGTTTTTGTGCACAATATGTCTGTAACCAGTGCTTGCCAATTGTGTTATGCTGAGAGCAGCTAAGCAGGGTTGAATGCTCAGTAAATACTAATGAGTTGGATTAAATAATTGTGTCAGCGGAAAAGTTTGAGATGGTGGAACTACAAGGCATGCTTCCTGAGATCTCTTGAACTTTCCAGTGGCATTCTGTACGTAAATATTGTTTTACCAAGTTGAACTCACTTGCCCGTTTTTCCTGTTAAACGAAAACTCATGAGACCTAAGGATCTCTGAAATACAAGGGAATATTGAGCCAATACAGATGCTAGCCAAGAAAAAAAAAAAAAAAGGAGCAGTCCTGGGGCAAGTTCCCTCAGCTACCAGGAGCCAGGCTAGATGGCAGTTGGAAAAATGTCTGTGCTCTAAGAAACCAGATGCTTTATAATGAAACTTTGGAAAAGGAAGGCACAAGTTATTTTTATTGAATCTCCATTAGCTATTGATAAAAAGATTCTCAAAGATTTGGGGATAGGTACCTTTAGATTGGGACCACAAGCAGGATGCAATGGCACAATTTAAGGTTTTGAGCTAGGCATGGTGGTGCACGCCTGTAATCCCAGAAACTCAGGAGGTTGGGGCAACAGGATCGCCAGTTCAAATCCAGCCTTAGAAACTTAGTGAGGCCCTAAGCAACTTAGTGAGGCCCTGTCTCTAATAAAATATAAAATAGGGTTGGGGAAGTGGCTCAGTGATTAAGCACCCCTGGGTTCAATCCCTGGTACCAAAAAAAAAATTATTTTGAGGTTTTAACATACATTCAAGAATGTACAATTAGGAAAATGCAAATCAAACTATACTGAAATTCCCTCTCTCACCAGTCAGAATGACAGTCATCAAGAATACAAATAATAGGGGTTGGGGTTATGGCTCAGTGGTAGAGCTCTTGCCTAGCATATGTGACGCCCTGGGTTTGATCCTCAGCACCACATAAAAAGGTAAAGTTAAAAAAAGAATACAGGGGCTGGGGATGTGGCTCAAGAGGTAGTGCCTGGCATGCCTGCGGCCCGGGTTCGATCCTCAGCACCACATACAAAAAACAAAGATGTTGTGTCCACCGAAAACTAAAAAATAAAATATTAAAAAATACTCTCTTTAAAAAAAAGAATACAAATAATAATAAATGCTGGAGAGGATATGGAGAAAAAGGAACACTTTTACACTGTTAGTGGGACTGTAAATTAGTACAACTGCTATGGAAATCAGTATGGAGGCTCCTCAAAAAATTAGGCATAGAAACATATGACCCAGCTATACCATTTCTTGGTGTTTACCCTGAAGAATTAAAGTCATCTTAGTACAGTGAAACCATAATCAACTCCATGTTTATAGCAGCACAATTTATAATTGCAAAATTATGGAACCAGCCTAGGTGTCCATCAATGGATGAACGCATAAAGAAAATGAGGTATAAATACACAATGGAGTTTTATTTAGCCATAAAGAAAAATGAAATATGTCAGTTGCAGGAAAATGGGTAGAATTAGAAACCATGTTAAGCAAAATAAGTCAGACTCAGAAAGTTAAGGGTCATATGTTTTCTCTCATATGTGGAAGCTAAAGGGGAAAAAAGAAAAGCAAAGGTGGGAGTAG